TTGTTACTCATTGTCTTTCAAGGAAATGAGTAACAAATTTATAATTCACACATCAATAAGATAGTATCTAAATGCAGTAGATGCGCAAGATGTAAAAATTAAAACAAAATGGTTAAAGTATTAGACAGATTTGTGGAAAATGTTGCAATATTTTAGAAACTCAATGTTGCATCAAAGCACAAATCATCTCGAATAAATTAAAAAATGTAAAAAACGTGATCCTAGTGTTAAAAAAAAAAAAATCCTAAAGTTTTGTGTGGTTAGCGGATTTAGACAAATAATTCAAAAGAAATTGTGGATGTTTTGTAGAAAGAAACTTTTGTCTTGATTGCATGAAGCAATCAAAAATACAGTTGGTTAAATTTAATCTTTTTAAAATTTATGAATGCAATATTCACTTGTAAAATTGAATAACCTACTTTCTGGTGCAGAAAGCTAATTTAAAATAGTAACTTTCATAAAAGTGACAAAGTGGCATTTTAGAAAAATAACTTTGCATCATCTGCTTGAAGCCACTGGAAACGTGCATAGTTAAAATATTACAAATAATATGCAAGATAGAACAGCATTTGTTTATTTAGTTTTAATAGATAATTTAATCAAACGGAATAAACAAACCGGTTAAATCAAAACGACTTTACATCTACATTTAAAACTATTTAGTCTCAATACTAAGCAAATACTGTTTTGTTTTTTTATATAAAAATGAGTCTGCTTTACTTTGAAGACTTTATAAATAGACTCCAGACATAAAAATGAAATATTTTACAGGTAAAGCTTCGAAATTCACAGAAATCAGTTAGGTTAACCTCAAAAGATTCTTGAAATGTCGAAATAAAAAAAATATCACATTGTCATTACAAATATCCATTCATCAAACTCCACACAGTGGATACATCCAGTTCTACAAACACTATGCGTTAAATACAGGATTGCTTCGAGGAGAAAACAGTGATTTGAAAGTTGCAACATGATTTTTGGAGTCCTGTCTCATAAGGAAGCCGTGCGCAGGAAAAATAAAAGTAAACTGTGCCCGTTTGGAGTTAGCGTTTCCGTGCAGTGTGTGTTTTTTTTTTTTTTAAACTAACAAGGAGTAAAACGTCTCTGCTCAATGTTGCATGTCAGTTTTTTTTTCTTTCTTTCTTTCTTTTTTTTGGCTGTGCAAGAGGATAATATTACAAAACCGTCCGTGTACATCTCCAGATGGACACAGGCGCTCGTTTTCTCTACCAACACCGTCTGCGGATTGTTGCAGCGTGTTCAGTCCAGGTCTATGGAGATGCAGCGGCACTGCTTGACGCGCTGGATGCGCTTCTTCTTGGTGGGAGGCTGCTGGTCCGGACAGTTCAGGGTAAAAGTCATGGTGGTGAACCGCTTTGGTTTGCAAAACGAGCAGGATTGAAAGGCACCCTCCTCCCTGCGGATGTGCCTGGGGATGTAGAAGGAGTTGCACTGTCCGTAGCAGAAGCGGTTGATGATGGTGCGGCTGACGCAGCCCTCCTCGTGGATCGTCTGCTTGAGAGGCTGCGTTTTGCACCAGTCCCGTTTCAAATACTGGCGCTCCGTCACATGCAGAGCCTCCTGGCTGGACTCCAGCACCTCGTCGGCTGGTGAGGTTGAGCCCGGCCTCTGGCGGGACCTGGATCCCGACTGTGGGGGCTGCGGTTGCTGCTCCGATTCGTTTGGGTTATTTTTGTCAGGATGAGGAATGGCCCCTTGCGAGGCTCGGTTTCTTTTTGAATCCGCGGGAGATGACAGCAGTCCGATGATGAAAACCATACTGCATAGAGTGTGCGCGGAGACGGCCATCCCTAGAGAGGATTAAAAATAATAATAATAATCACGTTTTTATCTTTGGGAGAGTTTCACACAAACCTCAAGGTTTTTACGCAGCATAAATACGCACGTATAGAACTTTTTGTGTTTGGAAAGTGTGTAAGAATAATCTTCTTGCATATAAATGTCTGTTGAATTACCCAACCTAAATCTAAAACCCTGACCCGTTATCAGTCCAAGTATTCAGCAAACGTCTACTAATCTAAATGGTAGAGGTAGGCAATAGTGGCATACCTAGGCGATTCTCCAAATTCGTCAAGAGGGATGATGCGATCCTGTGAGCCTTTCGCCTTTCTTGCACCTACAGCGGTCGACTGGACTCTGATGGCACTCTGGATAACCGGGAGACAACGCGCTCCATAGACGGGGGCCAACGTGGGGGTTTAATACAAATTGCTTCAGCGCCGGACTGTCTCCCTTTTAAATGTCTGCCAGCTGAGATGTGCACAACAGTTATTGGCTAAGCGAGATGTGAAGAAAATTAAGTCAATCCGCCCCCTCAACACTTCCCTGAACCCGCTTCAAGAGAGCAGACAACCGAGGGGTACCGAGGACAGGCAGGGAGGAGGATGAAGAGGAGGAGCAGAAATAAAGTATGCTGAAGTGGAAAAAGTGAAAGGGGTCTTCTTTTGATAAACCATTATTGTGACATGGAGTAAGTTCCTATACTTGGTCATCAGGCCTATATTTCACCGCACCTGTAATTCTATAGCCGAAAATTTCAAATGATTTTTTTTTTCTAGAGTCCTTAGATGGTGAAAAACGACTAAGATTGAATGATTTAGTCATTCAATCTTACCACTTCAATGTTGCTTAGTAAATTATATATTTTTAAATAGAATTAAATCCAATTATTAGTGTCATCTTCTAGGTTTGTTCTTCTGCAACTACTGCAATAAGGGTCAAAACATTTGTCAAAAACTGATCTTAAATACAAATGGAACCAAAATTCTAACACAAACTATAATAAATCAGAAACTAGTGTATATAAAAGTGAGAATTTTATTTTCACATATGTGGAAAAATGATTAAATAGACTCATGTAATTTAGTCACTGTAAGTTTAAAGATTTTATGTTGAATCAAGGCAACAAGTGAACTGGACTATTTTTAGTTTAGTCAAGTAGCCTAATATTTAGCATTGTGTTCTAATAGAACAGTAGTTAGAGGCAGACCCTATTGGGATAGGGTAAGGGTGGATTGAAGGGAAGACTGAAAAAGAAAACATTTAAGCAAAGATTCAAAAGGATGAAGGGTAGGGGGATGGATGGAGTAGGGAAGAAAAGAATGAACAGAGGACAAGTCAATACAGCATTTAAATGGTATGACAGGGAATTAAATAGGCAATAAAGTCTGGAAATATAAATATTTCCCACTCTTACGCTAATACTTATCCAGCCCTGGGAAATATTTAATGAAATCTGATATTTTTCCAAACTGTGTAGGAACCCTGTAATTATATTTGCTATGAATAGCAGACAACAGTGAACCAGAAAAATGTGCTGGTTGCTGTTTCACCAGTGTAGGAAAACCAAACGTTTTGGGAATATCAAAATGAATGTAAATATGTTCAAAGTGTAAAATACAGTTGCTAATTTCTTTCTTTTTTTTTTTTTTTTTTTTAACTTTACAACAGTTTCAGCTCCAGAGTAGACTACTGGATGTGTAAAATATCCAAGGAAGCCACATTAGATTTTGAGGTTTGGTGAGAAATCTTTCTTGGACTGCATCATTCAACCAATCATGCAGATCCAATAAATAAAGATATTTTTGTTCACAGCAAATTTAATGGTGGTCCAGTTTCATTGTACAAAACCAGTTGGGGTGATATGGTCTTTGAACAGGCTGCTATTAATACCAGATAATAATGCTTCAATCTTTCTTTTACACCTTCCAAGCATTCATTTAAAAAAAGTTTGTACACTACATGTGCTGCACTGTGGTGACACTAATTGTGGCATTTTTAAATATTTAGTTATGTAATGCTAATTAACTTGTTTTCATCCCTTTTTATTTTTGATTAATCTTAATGTTTCAGCTCCAAGTTTATAAACCATTGAGGCTCACTTTACATGTTCAGTGACGAGGCTACCAGCCACCAGAATGTATTCATTTGTAGATACTTTTAAAACTTAGCAATGTTACCAAAAAGTAGGACAGATAGCACTGTGAGTGATTAATTTAAAGAAAAAAAAATGTCTGAAGTTGAAATAAACTGTTTACTTCACTGGCTAACAGTAAGTTTAATATTCAAGGCGGCCATATTTTTTTGAGGTCAGGGTTAGTGAGAACCCTCCATCTTTCCAAACAGAGCTTTGACTTCCATGGACCGCCCCGACTTAATGTTAAAATGAAGCGTACGATAAACTACATCCTTCAGCCAGTTACTGTGATAGTTTTCATTTTTGTTTACATTACCCAACCTGGAAATGTTCATGCCCTACTGTAATACTGTTTTCAAAGACTGTAAAGTTGCTGCTACTCCAAGTTCACAGCATGTCCAATTCTCACCATGCAGTTCAAATTTGATTTTCACAACCTGGCAACCTTAAGAATATCCTTCTCATACTTAAATGCCTGCATTTTTAAATCATTTAGTGAAGTTTTTTTTTTTTTTTTTTTTTTTAAAGTGTGTATTTTTACAGAGAAAAAAAGCTAGTGCAACATCTCTCATCATAAAAATCCTTCATGCTTTATTAATCCAAACTAAACACACAAAGTGTTCTCCCATCACTGCGGCAACAGAAACTACCAGGAGACTATCCAAGTCTGATCCATCATGTTAAACACGAAAGGTATGCAAGCTTCTGTTAGACAGGGCAAAGTAAATCTCTACAATCTTGTCAGATTAAAATGTAATGCGTCAGATATGATTAAAATATTTTATAAAGCTCTTGATGCTTTATTTCAACTGCTCAGAATGTTGATATTACAGAGTCGGAGAGGAAAGTTTACGTTCTAACAAATCCTAGACTTCTCGTGACCCGAAAAGCATTCATCAAGACCTAAGAATATTTTAATAAATCTAAATAAAACCGCTACAAAGAGGCTTTAAATCAGTCAGAACCGAGGCATGGATATTACTGAAGTGGAGAACTAGCTACAGGACGCCCCCTTGTGGCTGCAAATTCACTTGATCCAATCACAAGAGGGATAAAAATTTCACTGGCAAATTCACAAAAGTATGAAGCCGTTTTTATTTGTCTGGAGCATTTCTCGGCGCTGACAAAAAAGCAAAGCATAAAAAAAAAAGAAATATAAAAAAATAAAAATTGACCAAAGCACAAAGATTTATAAACACTGTTAGGCTTTTTATCCCTCTATAAATTCATCAAAACAAGGGTTTCTTTCTCTTCTTTCAATGACAATTGAATTTCTTTAGCTCCCTAAGAGACGAAGAGATCTCTCAAGGTTTTTAAATAAAAGCGTAACACCCATATCTCCATTCACACCACCAGCTATCAACATTTTACATAAATTACCCTACATTATGTGATCTAAACGCTTAACATGCAACTATACAGAGTGATATGTCAAAATTTAACTTAAGGCACCTGAACGTCTCCCAATAGGCTCGTAAAACAACACAAACCTGCTGCAGCCAACATAAATTAGAGCATAAGGTAAACATGTCGAAATGTTTAATGTCTCGGGGTAAAGAAACCCACATAGCAAAACAAAAAGAAAAAGGCAGTGTCCTACAAGTCGACAGGTTTGGTAGCAGACAGAAGTTGGCCATGGTTGAGAGGGTTTCTTGGAGAACCTCTATAATGGCTCATGTTCTCTGCTGCAACCTGCTGCATAATGATCGGTTTCTGGACAGCTGATGGATCAGACTCCACTTTGGGATTTGGTTGAACTTTGTTGGTCATGTCGCCCAAGGCGCAGGGCTTGAGTTTTCGGGGCAAGGTGCTGAGTCTTTTCGGTGGGACAGGAGGGGGTTTCTTTGTGGGAGCCGTGCTGTTGGAGCGCCCTACTTGTGGCCGGAGCTGTGGATGAGGCGAAAGACCGGTCTCTAGACTCACAGCCTTTGTCACATGACCAGCCAGGCTAGCAGCGAGCTCTGGAAGCTTACTGGGTTTTCTGCTCTCTCCCGTCAGAGAGTTGATCCTGCGTACCGTCAGTCGCACGGGGGTGCGCTGGAACTTCATGGGAGATCTTATTTGCTTGTTCCTTGAGATTGAAGGAGAGTAAAGGGTGAGCTTGTTGAAGTGTTGAATGTGATCTAGAACCCGACGCTTTTGGGTCTGCTGGCCGTCTGGTGAGAGGGCCGGCTGGTGTTTGACTTTAGCTCCACTCTCCGGGGAAACATTTACCGTCTCATATGATTTGCTTCTTAAGGTTTCAGTTTTGTTTGGCATATTGGGCTCATCATCGAGTCCAACACCCGGCTTGTATGGAGTGGATTGGAGCCCAGAAGTGACAGCCAGTGCGAAATGAGCAGGACTCTGCATGTCCAAAGCATCAATAAGCCTGCTGCAGTTCACCTGCTGTGGAACTCTCTCAACTGACCCCAACGTGGAATTGCTACAGCGACCAAAGGAAGGAGATAAACCTTTGTTGACTACTGGACTACAGTGTGGACTAGACTCAAACACACCACTATCGATATGCAAAGGAGTGAGCGCTTCAAAATTAAATCGACCAAAAGTAACATTTTGTTCATCAGCCTGAGCTGGTGGGTAGAAGGTATCAACTTCAAAGGCTGAGGTTGGAGTAGCAGGAACATTTGCTGATAATTTAATCCCACTTTCTCCAACTGAGCTGCAGAAGCCCCGTTTGGAAGCCAGGAGGTCACTCTCCGGCTCTCTGACGTCATTCTGGGTATTTACAGTTGGATCATTTTGTCTCAGCGGTTCAGCGACAAAGCGCGTGCTCTCCAGACTCTCTGAGCTTGAAGCGCAGCACAGCTTCTTGGGAAGAATGTTTGCCGGTGACAGCTTGGAAGCAACGATGGCTGGCTCAGACATGTAGCTGCCCTTGAGGGCAGTGGTCAATGGAGTGTCTGTGAAAGATCCTCTGTCCAAAGCTTGTGTTCCCACAGGAGTTTCCACAATCCATGAGGCCTGGTGGGCACTCGAATCACACTGGGGGGTCAGCAAGTTATCTTCCGACTTGCTCATGTAGTTTGAGCCTGAAAAAGAGAAGTAGAATTAATGGAACGTTACATTTAATGGACATTTTTAACAACACGTTGCATGCTTTCTGGTACTTACTCTTGGATTCAGTTTTTCCGGCCAGATTTGATGGGGTAAAGTCCATCTCCTTGTTGAAAATGAAACCGGTGGTGCTCTCCTGAGTGGCAAGACGCAAGCCGATGGACCCAGACCCCTTCATCAGTACCACAAAGGAGAAATGAAAGATGAAAGAGCCTTTAAGGAGGGTTAAGCTGAAAGCTAGTGTTTTGTTAAAAAGACCCAAAAGAGGTTGCCCAAGTTAAACATGTTAGAAAATAACAGGTTTTAGGGTTAGTTCTTCAGAGGAAGACAGAAATCACAGATATCTGAATTTATTTTATTGGCTTTTTATTATTGCAAGGATCTTAATATATATAACTTTGCAACAATAGAATTGCACATAATACACAGCTCACCTAGAAAACTCAAACAATTTTGAGCATTTTTTTCCCCTACTCCATTTTAAAAAATCCCAGCTATATTTTTATTTAAATCACAACTAAAAGTCACGTTTGACCGTTGCATAAGTTCATAATGACTGTGAGCAGGTTCACTCCAAAGAATACCAGGAAACGATAGGAAACCAGACACAAAGTAAAAATTATGCACTGGTATTTTGTTGATATTAAAACCATAAATCTGAAAAACTATGCAATAGTGAGGAGAACATGAAAAGCAGAAAACCAATATGAAGCAGCATCAATAATGCCATTCACCCACTGTGAATGTTTATAGAAGATGCTACATATACTTTTTTCTGCAAGTTAATCTTCAGAACATTTTAATAAGGTGCTAGCTGTAAACCGCAGTGCAGAGAATGTGTGAAACATAATTTTACAGCAATTTCACAGGGGCTGTAAAATTAAAAATTTTAAAAATAGCTAAGTGAGGGACACGGCGTGTGGCTATTTCATGTAATTGGTCAAAAAATTTTTCAATAAAATTTGTAAATGCTAGAGTCTTAGTGGGGCGCCAGACTTACAGAGTCTTTGTTGCTCTTCCCCAGACTGAAACGCTGGCGCAGAGATTTGAGTGGAGCTTCTTTTTTGGTGACTTTAGGAGAAAAGCAGCCAGCTCTTCCAGATTCAACCCTGAGAAGGAAACAGATTGAAAAATCTGTGAGGAACATAAACCGGCGCTTAAATACAGAGACAAGAAAAATAGCTTAAATCTATTTCCTGTGTACTCATTGAAGTCAAATGTAATTGATAAGGTTATTAAGTATAATTTCACAGAAATTTAGGATCTGCTTATCAAAAGAAATATGCAAGATATTCAACAAGAGCAAAAAAATAAAAATAAAAAAACTACAGTAATGAACTTACAGACAGAGAAATAGTTGCGGTAGGATAAATGGTAAAAGTCAATTTGGATTTGATTTGTGAAAATCTGTAAACTCAAGCTGGATGATTTAAGGTTATTCTCTTATTCAGTAGTACATGCACATTAGAGTTCAGCTGTGACAAAAAAAAACAAAAAAAAAAACAGACCTATAACCACTGCTACATCCAGACACACGTTTCCTACACAGAGACAGATCAAACATTGGTGGGGATGTGAGTTTTTTAGTCATTTATTGATAAATATATATACGGCACAGTTTGAACACAAGAGCACTGAGCTCAGCCTTTGTGTGTTTTTTTCCTATTTTCCCCAGTAGAGGAAGTGGGGGGGGGGGGTTCGCTACTGGAAAAAAAACAACTACAAAACTACTTGTAATCAGTGCAAGTTAGTAAAAGCATAATAATGAATCTATTTCAAAATAAAGGTGCAGACAAAGGTAACAGTTTTGTTACCTACCTGTTGACAATATGCCTGTGGCTAAATCGTTTACTCTTCCTTCTTGCAGAGGTAGATGGTTGCCTTTTCGACCTCCCTGCCGGCGAGAAGGTATTTTGGGACGAATCCAGAAGTCCTGAAGCACTGCAGGCTGGAAAGCATGCGAGAAACATTTAATCTCAACTATAACCGAAAATAGTTATAGTCGAAAAGTTGGACAAGCTTTCAACAGTACCTGAACCAGGAGTGGAGGTCCCGTTGAACAAAGAGCTGGGGAGAAGTTCAAACCCAAGGTTCTTTTTGATAGCTCTACGCTTCTTGTTTGAAAATCCGAATGAGTTACGAGGTTCCAGTGGAAGTTTTCTCTTTGAGGACGGTGTTGCTATCACAGGAGTTGTAGAAGAAAACACTGGAAAACATGGCAAACTTTAGATAAAGATGCATTCAAATAAGAAGTTGCTGCAATAATTAAAAAAAACAACACTAAATTATTTTGAACCAAAGCGAAGATGATCAGCCAGCAGACATTTGTAGGCGATTATGAAATAACACGAGCAGGCAAAAAAAAAAAAAAAAAAGTAAAGCCAGCAAGCCGGGCATTTCCAAAATTTTCAGATGATGGGTGCTACAGAAGCTGATTTGAAAAAGATTTTTGTGAGAAAAAATAAATAAATAAAACAGAGCATTACATTTCATGAGGGAAAAAAAACAAAGAAACAAAACATTAATTCCAGTTTCAAGAAGACAAAGGTTGCCATCTGATTTGCACAGGAGATAGATTATTTCAGCATCTTCATGCTTTCTGATGCAAATCTCATCTCGTGTGACACAACTGTACCTACCAAGACCTTCTGGCTGGCTGATATTTGTGGGAGTTCTATTAGTTTTTATCTTATTCAGTGCACCACAGACCATATCTGAAACATGAGACAAACCCGGCCAAATAAACAGGATTTTCTTAGGAAAACACTGGCAGCTTTACACAAAATGTTCTACATTGACAGTTCTTCTGACTCAGATCTCCAGAGATTTTAGCCCATTTAAGGTACTGTAAGTTATGAAGCATATTTATGAATTAAAGGCCCTTATTGATGCCTGGACGGACAAATGAATGAAGAAACAGGTGGACAGATAAGGAATGAAAATGAGTGGACAGTTGAGCAGACACCAGCACTGTGGACAGAGACAATAGGATGCATACCTACATGGATTGACAAACAAATGGACAGGCAGCAAATGAAAGCATAGACAAATGGGCAGATATAAAGGAAAAACAAAAGAATGGACAGATGGACAAAAGAACTGAGGGACAAACAAGGACATATAGCTGACAGGCAAAAGGATAGACTGAAAGATAAATGGATGGATTCATAGAACTTTTAGATGTTGTGATATGGACTAAAGTCTGCAAACAAAATATATTTTTCTAGATCAATTTCCTTTCTATCATAATTATGCAGACCCACAAAATATAAAAATCAAATATAATTTTCCAGAATTTCCTAGATAAGATAAGAATCCTATTAACACCCAATTATGGTCAACTAGAGTACAAAGCTACATTTCAGTTGTTGGGTTTCCCTGAGTATTTCAAGTTCTCATTTAAAGATACCCATAATACAACTTTAACCGAAGAGTTTTACCTCCAAAGCTGCGTCTGTTTTTCTTCTTTATCCCTGAGTTTAAGTTCACCTCTTCTAGTTCTTCCTGAGAGGGCGATCGAGCCCCTGGCTCACAACCCATCATGGCAGGAACTTTCTCTTGAAGAAATTGAGGTAGGACACCTGAAATACATAAGTATTTAAAATGAGAAAACTAATTCTAAAGCTAAAAGAGCAAGACCAGGCATAGTGTCTCAAGTCATACCAAAGTTTTGGGCATTCTCTATATAGCAGTGCACAATGGCTGCCTGTAATTTAAGGCGCTTCTCCGTGTTGGCGTTCATCTTCTCTGTTCCGTCTCCAGAGTGAATGAGGTTTGGGGCCAGAATCACAGATAAGTTACCGCTATCCATTTTGTTCTCTGCACTTCTATAATCCGAAAAGGAAATAGAATACATTTGTGAATGTCCTTTTCTTCTTCTAAAAAAAAATATCTGTATCAAGACACATAACTTCCACTGAAGATGAGAGGAAAACTGTATAAACAAACTTCAGCTACAAGTAGTTACAATACCTCTGGGATACACTGTGAAGGAAGTCGAAAAAGTGACGCAGTACACAAGTGTTTTTGTCTGGCAGCACACAAGACAGCAGCATGGTGGCAGAGGTCCTCTCCTCCGCAGAGGGCAACTGCTGGACCTTGAGAAAGGCATCCTGCAGCTCTGTGGGAAGGATGGGCTCTGGGAGCTCCCTGAAGAACTGCTTCACCAAGCCTGCGACGTCACAGGGACGAGCTGTTGGCAGACAGTCTTCTCCTGCATCGAGTTTAGCCTGGAGAAACAAAACACATTTTTGTTGTGAAATGCAGTTCCCAAAGAATTTAAAAGGTGACTCTGCAAAAGAAAACAAGGTCAGCCATAGCGATCACTCACCCTGAGTTCTTTCAGGCGTACAACAGAACCCGATTTTCTAAACAGACCTTCTGTTTCAACATGTGCAAGCAGTTTCATGCAAGCATCAACCAGAAAGCTGCAAAGATGGTGGGGAAAAAAATATTTGTAAAATACTTGCATGACATCAAGTTCCAACATGCAAAAAGCAAGTTGGATTCAAGTATAATTGGTGAGCTTTCTTACCTTGGCACACGTCCACATTCCATATCATAGCATGGCAAGCTGTCCAGCGGTACACCAAAAACTTTTCGCTTTGGAAATTATTAAAAGAAATAGCAATTATTTATCCAGTTCTTAGATTTGAATAAAAAAATGGTTTCATCAACATTAATACGTAGCTTCACACAAATTAGAAACTCTGGCAACTTCTTTGCTGTCTGATTAGAAGAACAATATCACTGAAAATATTAGTAATTCCACATCCCGACTGCCTAGGCTGCTAGTGATTCATACCATTGTTCAAAATTCAGTCCTCAACTGATTTCTGATTAAACTACTGACTGCTTGAAATAGTCAAAGCAGCTTTTGCCTATTTGTATTATAAAATGCTGAAATGTCATGATCCTCACTTCTTTTTTAAGCTGCTGATTCTGCACCTTAGGGACATTTTGTAAATTGTAACAGGCGTTGCAAAAGTGTTGCAACCCTGAAAGTCCGTTTCAAAAAAGTAGGTCATGTGGTAATGACCATTTCCTTTTTATAAATGTGTATCAAAATTTTCCATTTCCATTAGGGTTGTTGTTAAATTTATATTTATATTGTTAGTTACTGTGCAAATAATCACAGGCAGAGCCACGCAAAGGATCAACAGTGACTGACGTAAGAAAACATTTGCTTGTCTCTCATAAGGATACGCTACCTGAATGCTAATCGACTGCAAACAAAGGAATAATGAAAGTTGATGGTGGCGTTTTGTTCATTCTTGATCTAAAATTACCATTATTGTTTGTCAAGTGGAAAAAAATCTACAGCTACTGCAAGCACAAGACAAATATGGCAATGTTGATTAAATGTCTAAACTTACCAAATGGCTGGCTGTTGTCTTGCAGCTGGTTGCTTTGTTTTTGTTCCAGTTCTTTATCTTTATCCCATAAACAGTGCGGAGGTGCTGAACAGCCGCTAAACGCATCACATTTTTCTCCATGACGTTCATGTTTTAAAGTAATTCCTTCGAAGAATTGCACTATTATTGCTCTCTGATACTATTTCCTTTCACCACCGTTAATGAACAAGGTACACGGGAAACAGTTCTGTCTAAAACTCAGCCCTGTCTAATTCAATCTCTTTTCTCAAATCCCTAAATCATTTTCTCGAGGAACCTATTAATACTACTAACGGTCTAACAGTCCAACAAAACAAAAGGGTCACTGTCCAGGTATCACAACAGTGAATTACACATAGTAAACAGCCTCTCTAAAGGTTAGCTTCGCCTATATGTTGCAGACATCAAGTTAGCAAGCAAACGTTAGCTACATAGCTTAGCAGTCATGTTAGTTTGTAAACAAACGAAAAAAACGAAAGAGCTTCTCGTTTCCATCCGACCTCAAGTTGCCCACTATGTTTTCTCAATCAGTAAGCGAAGTACATTCCACTTATTTAAGCCTTCCACAAGTTTACTGCATAATGCTGTCGTCCTCTCAACAATCGGTTGCGAAGCTTGCTTCCTATTTCCGGAGCACTTTCAAACAGAGGCGCTCCCCGTGCTCTATGTTCTGATTGGACGGACACGATTCGAATAACATTTCCCTCGGGGTGTGTGTTTTATCACACAGCGTCTCCCGGTCTGGGCGGTGCACGAGGACAGTTCTGCTGGAGCAGTTACTCTGGTTTACTGTGTAATTAAAACAAGGTACAATTTTTACACGGAACTAAAAGCATCATTTGTTGATCAAAATATGCATTAAGACCTGGATTTCAATGCCTTACTAGCTTGCTTTTACATGTACGTACCCACATTAAAGAGCTTAGGTCAAATGGTAAGCTTGTACAAACCATAATCACCTTTGAAACACTTTCCCAAAACTGAATGTTATATGTTTTGTTGTTATGACATATTTCTGTTTTCTAGTTACAAACCAATAACAAAATAATACAAAATTATAAATGATCCAGAAACTGACATAAAAAATAGATTTATATTATTTAGGGACTGGTTTAATAAAGTCAGAGCACATTTGAGGCTTTTCATTTCTAAAGGTTTAAGAGGTTAAAGAGGATTCAAAGGACAGACTAGAAATCAGTGTCAAAAACAGGGTGGTTGGCCAACTCCTCACCATTTTCATTCTACCATCACTCTGCATTAATATTAAATTAAAAAATACTAACAGATAGCATCCTGCTGGTCCATTCAACTTGGTAGTCTTCCAAATACCACTAAGATGTAATGACATTTGTGTCTGTAACCTGGAAAAAAAATGCACAAAAACATTCATGTGGAATAAAAAGTTTTGTGTAGCACTGCATATTGTGCATCACAAAAAAAAAAGCCAGACTAGGCCTGGTCCATTATTATGTTTTGTTTCATGTTGGATTCTTGGCTAGTGATTGCATTGTTCAGGTACTTTTTCATAGGCTTATCTTTATTACAACATTGCATAAACAGGTATATACAACACAAAGATGTACAAGTGTATGAATGGAAACAGGTGACTGCTGGTTTAGAAGCATTTCCTGTGGACAATAGAGGGGCCGGCTTCATCGTATTCCTGTTTGCTGATCCACATCTGCTGGAAAGTGGATAAGGAAGCCAGGATGGAGCCACCAATCCACACAGAGTACTTCCTCTCAGGTGGAGCAATGATCTAGGTAGGATATGAGCAAGTTTTGATTTTTATGAAAGGTGGAATTCCACTATCAGAGTTTGGCAACTTGTAAACCTTTATATTTCTCACCTTGATTTTCATGGTGCTTGGGGCCAGGGCTGTGATCTCCTTCTGCATACGGTCAGCGATACCAGGATACATTGTAGTCCCACCAGACAGCACATTGTTGGCGTACAGGTCCTTACGGATGTCAATGTCACATTTCATGATGCTGTTGTATGCAGTTTCATGAATTCCAGCAGACTCCATACCTATTGAAAAACAAGCAGATTTTAATTACTAAGGAAAATACTAGATTGAAGTAAAAAACATCTCTCAGGTGCATGTAAACTCACCAATAAAAGAAGGTTGGAAGAGTGTCTCTGGGCAACGGAAACGTTCATTACCAATGGTAATGACCTGACCATCGGGCAATTCATAGCTCTTTTCCAGCGAGGAAGAGGAGGCAGCAGTGGCCATCTCATTCTCGAAGTCAAGAGCCACATAGCACAGCTTCTCCTTAATGTCTCTCACAATCTCACGCTCAGCTAAGAGGTAAAAAGTTTGAGCAGTGAGGAAAAGACAATCAGCCTCTCTAACAGATGCATACAACAACGCCTGATATCCCCCTACCAGTTGTGACAAAGGAGTAGCCACGCTCAGTCAGGATCTTCATCAGGTAGTCGGTCAAGTCACGACCAGCCAGATCAAGACGCATTATGGCATGTGGCAAAGCGTAACCCTCATAGATCGGGACGTTGTGGGTAACGCCGTCTCCAGAGTCCAGTACGATACCTTAAGCAAGACCAGAAAAGCAAGAGTTAGTGAAGCTTGTATCCTTCCAAGGATGATGGCAGTAAATTGTAGTTTTAATCAAGTAAAACTCACATCGTACAGAAATCCTGGACAATAAGAAAAAAAATTACTAACCAGTGGTACGACCTGAAGCATACAAGGAGAGCACAGCCTGGATGGCCACATACATGGCAGGAACATTGAAGGTCTCAAACATAATCTGAAATGAAAAAGTGATCAGAATAAAAATAAGTCTCAACTTGAGGAATGCTGTGACTGAAATGTTTGGACAGAATTCCAGTCACCTGAGTCATCTTCTCCCTGTTGGCCTTGGGGTTCAGCGGTGCCTCAGTGAGGAGGGTAGGGTGTTCCTCTGGAGCTACACGCAGTTCATTGTAAAAAGTGTGATGCCAGATCTGACAGAAAGAAAAAGAAAAGCAGCTGACATGAAGTCAGGAACAACTGCTGGCTGGATAAACACCAGACTGGAAGGATGAAGTGAAATCTAAAAATAAAGCCACTTGTTGTGATTGTGGCAGATGAGGTTGTAAATTCTAAAGACTGTAGAGTGTCAGCTGTTGTGAAGGATTTAAGAAAGTCTCTTTGTTAACACACACACAGCTACCTTCTCCATGTCATCCCAGTTGGTGATGATACCATGTTCAATAGGGTACTTCAGAGTCAGAATACCCCTTTTGCTCTGGGCCTCATCGCCCACATAGCTGTCCTTCTGACCCATGCCCACCATCACACCCTGAGAGGAAAGAAGAGATATGTTTTCACAATCATATCCAAGAACAGATTATTAATTAATGATTTTTTTTTTTTTAAAGATGGCCTTTATCTTCACTCTACCTGGTGGCGGGGTCTTCCAACGATGGAAGGGAAGACAGCTCTGGGAGCATCGTCTCCAGCGAATCCAGCCTTAACCAAGCCAGAGCCGTTGTCGCACACAAGCGCAGTAGTCTCATCATCGTCGCACATGATTACAGTTTATCTGGTGGTCTTTAATTCAAGTATGAAAGATTGAAACGAAACTGTAGGGGATGTTATTAAAAACAAAGCTGTTTCTATTTTATTAATACCATTGAGAAGAATTTGTATAGTGTTGAAGTGTACCTTCATGCAGATAAAACTACTACTCTTCTACTACTAACTACTACTCTGACCATTTGGGTGAATAAACTCAATACGAGTTGTTATAATTATTATGCACTGACTGTGCCTATGATACCTGCCAGTGCAATCTGATAACTGTAAGGTGTTGATAATTGATAACACAACTCACATCAACAGAAACAACCAATGAAGTGTTAATTAACGTGCTATTTTAGAACTAGATTAGTCATGAACCTCTGATAACATATCTCCCCAGCCACGTTAATCTCTGGAAGCTACTCAGGTTACACCAAAGAGGGGCATAAAAGAGAGACCTGAGATCTATTTTAGGTTCTGTGTCCCACCCCAAACACCCCTTTCTCGCCCCCCCTCCACTGTGCTAAATGGAGTGAAACAAGTGACACATGGATCTCCAGCTATGCCAGGTCAGAAGTGGCTGGACTGTGACACTTTTGTCTTACTGCTTCACAACATGCCTCAGATGCCCATTACCTTCATTCACTTGAACCTTGAGATAATTCCTGATTATCCTCATATATATTCTGCATTATTCCAGGTATTTTAACCACATGAAGTTAGTGTTTACTTTCAAAAGGGCATTTTTAATAAAAGACAATAGCCTAAGATATTTCAGCATCACTTTGCAATTCACCCCTAATATCCAGGAGTTTTAGTTTTAAATATATCTGCAATTCATTTGATTATTAATGAAGTCAATCATTACCTAATTAATTATTCAAACCTACAGAAGTGGACTAAAAACATCAGAATCTACCTTCAATTATTGTTTGAGAATCAGAAAGACAGTGTGTGCCATGTACTTACCAAGGTGCACTGGCAGACAGATGCTTCCACTGGGACGAGTTTTCATGGTATGGAGTATCCCTTATATAGCCCCCACAGTGGATCCAGGAATCAAGGGGGGTTGTGCCCAGGCTGTAGACAAGCCCAAATAAGAACTTCCAGCACACCAGCAAGCCTCAGGAAAAGTGTCTTTAACTTATATGGATGGGCTTAGCTTTTCATAATAAAATCACAGAACCACTGGAATGTCTTAAAAATTTAAAATGTGAAAAGAGTTAGGAGTCATTGGATTGCTATGTGACACATGTTAAAAATCAATCAAGTGACTGAGCTTTGCTCTAATTGTATATGCATTATTATTTAAATAACAAAACTGACCTATTTAGTAATCATATTTGAATTGCTATTTCAATGTGCATAAGACATAACCTCTACGTGTATCATGTATAACACCAAAAAAGCCCACTAATCGGACTCAGTAAATGCACCGTCACTGGTGTCTTGATAAGGCGATGAGAACATTGTATACGTCTGTAAATCATCCTGCTGGTGTGCGCGCTCAGCCATCTCAGTGTGTGGAACAGCTGATGGTAACACCAGCTGGGCTCTATGTGTCTTATCTGACAGTCTGAGTGGGGCTCATTTCTGATTGGCTCAGGCGTTTCCTTGTAGGGTGATTGGAAGTGCCAGAGTCATTTATGAGCAGGCAGCGAGTTTGAAAAGAGCAGCTCCATATTTGTGAAACCCACAAGTTGAAAAATATTTTTGTGGTGTGTTCAGTGCCATATGAGGGAATATTGTCACTTGCAGGAAATATGCTAATATTTGAATTCTTAGTTAGAATACCATTATTCCATGGGCAAATGTTATAAAATATAGCAATTTATAATTACTACACATTTTTAGACCTGTGAAAGAAAGCATAGCATGTAAAATGCTAAGTTGTATCACGACTAAAGGAATGAAAGAGCATTCCTTTGTGCCACACTACTCACCATACAACACTATTTTTAACTTCTTGTCTACAGATAGGAGCAGGATGCTGCATTTTTTACAGGCAGTTTAAATTGACTGGTTTGATGCATTAGCAACAGCGTTGCAAATAACTTGTGGTAAATTTTCTCTATGTAGAAAAAAACAAAAAACAAAAACATTCTTAGTACACTGACACAAAAAATTACTAATGCT